AAATAAATTAATAGATTTCAGTCACATCTTTTTTCTGATCATTTCATCCAAACCAGGTCTCCTCCTCAAAGTACATTCAACAGCAATTGTTATTTCTTTCATAATTCTAAACCACCAGATCAAATACTAGAAACTACTGATTTGTTTTTGCGAAAAAGCTGTTCTTATTGATTATTAATAGAGTTAGGTGTAGGCTTACCAAATCCAAATTTAAGAAATCAGGAGGTTTTTGTCAAAAATCACTAGTTTACCAGGAGATTTTTCTTTCTAAATCAGGAGACTTTTACTTGATGTCTGAAAGCTGTCTACATAGTTTTACACGAAGAAAATTCAATTTCTTGCTGACATAAGCAATTTTCTCTTTTGTATATCAAGCTTATGGTGAAAAATTTCCTTTCATCTGAATTTAAATAAAAAAAAGGTGATAATCCGATATATTTTATATTAAACCCTTCTTTAACAGAAGACTCATGGAGAATTTGATATGCAGAACGTCATAGAAGATGTACTTAATTTTAAGTAACAGTTAAAACAGTCTATTTTTCAGAGATTTTTTATCAAACAAAAGCTTGAAATCCTGGACAAACTCTGGATAGCTCTGGAAAGTCAGGAAGCTTTGTCAAAATATCTTGTATTGAAACCTATGAAAAATGTGTATCATAATAGAAAGATGCCTTAAGGAAGTATGTACGCTACAGCATATGAGAAGATCTCGAGTTGTTTACGCGGAGAGGTTTAATATTTATTTCACAATCATTTATTAAAGTGCATAATGTTGAAAAATGAAAATAACTCATTAATGACTATGAATCAAGATATCAAGTAACAAGTATGATAAGAGCTTTCTACTGAGCAATTCGTCATACTTTTAAAAAATGACTTAGTTATTTGATCAACATAATTGTTTCAATAGATAAGATTTACTTAGGAAATAATCATAAATCTATGTGCTAATGTGATATGTTTCCATTTTAAATTTCAGTTCAACTTATAGAAAATCATGTTGTATTGTATGTCTGTGGTTACTCGATAATATCTCACGTCAATAAAAGCTGTTTCACGAAATTCACTTGAAGCAGAAATGAGCAAAGCGCACTTAAACTACAATAGCTTTTGTAAGTTAGGTGTACGTACAATGTCTAGCAAGTTTATAGGAGATCATATCTAATTCACTGGTTTCTGTTTTAGTCAACTAGAAACAAAACTAAAAATCAGCTTCTGAAATCAGGAAATTTCTTATCAGAAGAAAAGATAAAAAAAAACAGGAGTTTCCTGCTCAAATCAGAAGATTTGGCAACCCTGGTTAGGTATCCACAAACAAGTATTACTGATTGCCAGACATCATTGCAACTCATGGTTTGCAAGGTGATATATTTCTTAACTGTCTTATTACTCGTTGTACCATCTTATATTAGAGCGCGTTTTACCTAAATATATAAATGAATTGTTAATTTGTTAATTCTATATAATAATTTTGGTTCACTTGTACGACATGAATTGGCATGACCATACTTCCTAAAATATGTTATTTTAATGATGCACTTAACAATATAAATTTAAAATATCTGCTACTTAATTTTTTTTATTCTTTGAATTCTACTAATGTGATTGAATTTGATAAATAATTAATATATTTATTGAATACTACTATATAATTTTTATTTGAAAAAATTACGCGTAATATTCAATAAACTAAACTTTCTTTTGCTTCTGGTCGAGATACAGTCTTATAAATGTAAACAGATTATTATTTAAACAAAAAAAAGCTCGCAATTATAAAGATCAGAATCATTTTTACACAGACAATTTATTACAAGTATAATATGAGAAACAAATTTTTGTGTCTATCATTTATTCTTTATAAAATTATAGTATAATTTCCTCAGAGATCATATGAAATTAAACTCAGCATATATATTCTCAACAAAATACATTACATAGTATACTAGTTTTGTCTATGGTTTTATATATCTATCTATCAAGTAATAAGAAAATAAAAGACTTGGCTTTAATGAGCATTGAATATCTCTAACACATTTGCTGACATTGATAGAATTTATAAATAAGTTTGAATCGTTATAATATCAGTATTGTTAGAAAATATCGAGATTCTGATATATGAGAAAAGCATGAAAAATGCAAAAGCCATCTAAATAAATTGATGAGCTGACGTTTATTTAGCATACGATTGACTGATGATTAAAGCATTTTTTTTTAAATTAAAAACTATATGAAGAACTACAGAAAAATCTTTGATGAAATACTAAAAGTTTGTTTGACACAGAAAAAAAGAAGAAAAAGTTCGATTAAGATCAAGTGTATTTCTTACAAGAAAATTGAAACATATTATTGTTGACGATTGTATACCTCATTGCCGAATTCTTTTCAATCATTTACATTGGTGAGTGTCGTTTCGATGATCATCCCTTACGTTCATTTTTTCTGAATATTCATCATATATATAGCATCTATTCAATATGATTACTGAAAAAAATTTCTTAATACAATAACTCTGTAACAGTAATGTGTTTAGAGTCGAATGATGTCTCTAATTGCATATCACACTTGAGACTGTTATACCTTATGATCAGTTCGAAATTGAGTTGTTAGTCGAAAAGCAGAGAGGCTACTCTAAGTTAGTAGTATCAATACATATAATATTAGAAATTTTCTAATACTGCAGATATTATCTTAGAATTTCGTCGAAATGCATTCTAACCTATTACATTAGCCTGCTGTGAAACTCCTTTGCGTTGTGAAGCTACTCGATTATCATTAAATGAAATTCGATTGAAATCTCTCTCTAATAGAATTAATAGAAGCAATTTTCAATTTAACTTAAGTATATGAGAAAAAAATATATATTTCTAATGAATTATCATTTAGATTGCACTGATTTAATAAAACATTTTATTCATTCTATTCTTCGCCAGACAAATACAAGATTCTCTTTTTAATCATTTGCTTTTTTTTTCGTCCTCTTATGTTATTTGATTCTATATCATGACATAGGTAATGGAGGCAACGATGTATATATGTAGTAATATTGTCTTGTATTAATATGCTATGCTAATTTATCTTTTATTTATTTGTAATTGGTGCATTTTGATGATGGTCTAAGGATGAAATAGTAATACAGCGCATAAATAAATGTCATTTTATCAGTTTTCGAGTTTCGGATGTAAGTATGTCTCAACGTTTTTTTTTTTCGAAAGTTAAATTTATCTTTTTTGTAAGTAATAAATTTTACAAGTAATTGTCCAATCTCGTAAATAATCATCAATAAAGTTGCAGCTCTGAAGTGAGAAGCTAAGCGGCACTCATTGAACTTGCCATAGACTCAAGACTCACAACATTATTATGACATACAATTATGTTGCATACATTAAGAATGAGACGACTATTATGTGTATGAACATTGTGAGCAATTGAACAAGAAGAATTTTGATTCATTTTGTCCTTACAACATCATTAAAAGACACTAGTTTCAAATAAATAAAAAGTAAACCAATAAAACTATGTTATAATGCTGAGATGAATGTTGAATAACACGCAAGGATAACAAAAATAAATAACTAAAAAAGAACTTTTTTTTTGTGTATGTGAAAGATTCATTTTTACATTTGAGAAAAACAATTATAGTTTTATTATCTATTTCATTCTTTTATGTTCATTGATGTTCAATGTATAGAATTCATTTCGGTTTTGTGAGTGTGGGTGATAAAAAAAAAAAAAACTATGAAAAATTTATTTTATCATGTCTATTGATATAATAAATTTTGTATTAGAGTTAAAATAGATAAGAATTTTGAATAAATAAATACTTAAAAAAGATTTTTTTTGCTGTTTTATTTATTTTTGTATTAGGTTTCAGTATAAAAAGGATGGATTTTCTTCAAGTAAGACTACAGAAAAAAAAAGGAAATAGAAAAAAAGACGAAGAAAGAAACGATAGAATTATTTCTTCTCTTTTATTTATATTGCCAGTTAATAAGCGTATACTGTTGATATTATAGAAACTTGTTTAAATTCACTTTGATCACTATGTAAGTTTTTTATTTAATAACTATTCTACTTTATTAATTTAGAATTCTTCAACAATTATCAATTCTTATAAAGATAATTAGTTTTTGTAAGGTCGAAAAAACATTCAAGTTCAATCATCGAATTCATGCTTAAAAATTGCATTTGATATTATTCAATCTATTATGTTTTTTTGAAAGTTTCAAATAATATCAAAGTAAAGCTATTGTAAAATTATTACGTATATTGAAAAGTAGTATAAAGATAAATAGAATATTGTTTTGTTCTTTTGACTAATAAATAATTTATATTCCTATGTAAAAGTAATAATTCTAATCTACATGATAATATTAGAATATTGATGAGAATTTCCAGAGATTTTATTCTAAAGAAAGTTTGAGGGTACAATAGTTTAATATAAGAACTATAAATTTCCTACGTTTCAGCAGGATTAGATAGATTTATCTATTATAATAATGAATCGGAATCAACCAAAATAGAAGTAAATTATGGAATATATATATATATGAAACACATTGAATAGAATACAAGTATAGTTTCTTGAAGAATGATAACAAGAATTTTGATATAGAAGATCATTCTGAATTTTTAATGAAAAAAAATTATTAAGATCTGATAAATTTCTTTACTTATAACATTCACATCGACAAATATAATAGATAATTAAAATTTATCGAAATAATTATTGTCCTAGAAGACAGTAATCTTCAAGACTTCAATGGTTTATTGGTCTAGAATAAAATAAAAAAAAGTTCGACTCATCCTTCTCTATCAGGAAACTACGACGAATATTACTATCTATCAAATTTAGTGACAAGAAAGTGAAGTGAATGTCAAAATGTCTGTCATTTGGTTTCCTTTTATGCACTATAATTAAGAACTTCCTTTTTATCACGATTCACAATAATTCGTAAACTTGCAAAAGATTTGGTAAAATCTTCTTATTAGAAATAAAAGTAGTTTCTACCTGACAAAATTTTATGACAAAAGAATTCATGTTGAATGATTTGAGAAAAAAAAATTTCAATTAAAATGATTAGTTTCTTTCTTTTATTTATTTATTTCTATTTAAAGAATATAAATAAAATTCTGTCCAATGGCATATGAACAATCATTATTTAAACTACCAGAATTCGTTCAAATCATTACTGATCCAATAAAAAGACAAGCAAGATATGCAGCTAAAACAAGTATTTGTTTAGTTTGTGGTGATAAAGCACGAATTATTAATTATGCTGCACTGTCTTGTGCATCTTGTAAAACATTTTTTCGTCGTCACGGTTTTCGTATTGAAGTTAGTATTGATTTGCTTGCTTGTTTTATTTATTTCTATTTCAAATTCTTTTTTATAGGAAGTTGAACCATGTCAATTTAATGGAAGTTGTGAAATAACAACACAATCTCGAAGAGTTTGTTCTGCTTGTCGACTTGCTAAATGTCTTATAATTGGTATGAGTCGTGATCTTATTCGTAAAGAAGATCTAAGTGAAAGACATCTATTTTCGACAATTAAAAATAAACAAAGCATCATACAACAACCAAGAATGGTAAGAGATATAGCAAGATTGAAATATTTATTGGTCATACTGAAAAAAGAAAACAAATATGAGTATCACTATCTTAAATAGATGCATTTATAGCGAAAGTACAAAGATGCAAGTTAATGTGAAATTAATAATTCCTGTTGCATAAGTCTTTGCATAAAATGTTCGTTCGTTCTTTGACCATTTAAAAGCAACTATTGAAACTTCGGATTGAAGCGAAGTGCAAATATTTCTTATTAGTTGAATTTTCATGTTTGACTAATTTTTTGAAATGGAATTGATTTTTCAAGGACAGATAAAAATTTCCTATGAGTTAGTTAGAGGTCATTTTTTTTAAGGAATTCATATCAATGGAGAAGAATTTAAAATGAAATTAATTTGATATGATTGAGCAATCACGTTGTTTGACATATACCCAGAAAGTTATTGTGTATGTGCCTCGGTACCACCAGTTATGGAATAAGACTGAACAAGTTACAAACGGTTCATTGACTTGAATTACTCGTCTGATAGCATGCTGATTAGATTATAACGTACATCTACCTTCTTTGCTAATTAGCAATTAATTGGTGTGCACGGAAGTTTGCGCCATTGAGCGAAAGAACTCAGAGCAACGTCGATCTTCCGTTCAATGCTGTAGTTATTAATAGTTGTAGGGAACATATTGGACTGACGAAACTTTGATTTGTCCATTTCTGTCGAAAATTATACAAACAACAACAGTATACGAGATCGTTTACGATGTTTATAATCATTGCTATAAGTTTCTTTTCTTATTTGAAAAAAAATTCAATTCGATGTAATGTTCTAATAGTTTGAAATCACTTCCGGCAATTTTTCTCAAAATTTCTACATTGCACAATAATATCACATATAGAATAAAAATGCAAACATTGTATTCTGTTTATATTTAGCCTTCATTTTCACTGCATACATTGGATTTATTAAATAGAGATCGATCAAGTCTAACTACAACAGATTGGACATTATTTTCTAATATAATACATGCATATGATATATTCAGTCCTGTAAAATCTATACATAATGAAATTGCACGTCAATCAAAATTACCACCTAAAATACGTGTAAAACTTGCACAAGAATTAATACCAAATATACTTATTTCATTTTATACATCATTACAATCTTATATAAGATGCACAAATGAATTTCAAATGTTTACTATTGCTGAACAACAATGTATTTATCAACGTAATTTTCATAGTGCTTCTAGTTTAATGGGTCAACTTATTTTACGTGAATCAGGTATTTTTGAAAATAAAACATATTTATCTGCTTTTGCTTCATCATATGATGTTGAAACACTTACACAAGCAGCATCTGTTATGGAACGTCTTGATTATGATTCAACACTCGTGAAAATTTTTCTTGTTATTATTTCATTTTCTTCAAATTGCTTTATGATTGATAATTCGACAAATATTTTTGGAGATTATTTATTAAGAAAAACTAAACAATTATTCTTCTATCAAAATCAATATACTGAACTTCTTTGGAAATATATGATATTTCGTTATGGTTATAAAGAAGCTGCCTTTCGTTTTGCTGGACTTATTAAACAAATAATTGATCTAATTCCATTAGCAGTTGATGCTTATGTACAAAATACAACACATCATCAAACTGTAGTAACTAAAATTAGTGAAAAAACTGAATATTAGTAGTAAAGACAATGTTTATACGAGAGTCATTGATTGAATACATTTATTCCTTCTACCAACTGACTTCAAAACTATGCTATGAAAAAATTAATTATTTGTCGTTTTGTTTTTGATCTCATATACTTTTATTTGTAAATAAAATTTCTACCTAAATGCATTACAATAATTCGAATGTACATATCCTTTGACTTTTTATAGAGGAGAGTTTTCTGCAAGTTTGATGAAAAATCGATCGCTGCTTGAACCAAAGCAGATGCCGCAAACAATTATATGTGATGAGTATGATAAATTTTTCAAAATAATACGATCTAATGTGAGATATGAGGAAAATATATGAATCTTTTCTCAAAATATGAAACATTTCTAGAATTGTAAATCTGTTATTACAGTTCCTATGGGATTAAAATATGAACTCTGATATAATCGATATTACTAATTGAAAGAAATGTTTGAAAAATCATTTATAATGTATATTTAAATCAAAACATCAGTACTATCCTATTGAGTCGTAGTTTACATGTAACCTTACAGTTTCTCTTTCGAAGTTTGAAAAGAAATACAGTAAATTTCATTATCAAGCTTATGTCTGTCATAGTCTGTGCAAAAAGAAATTAAAAAAATCTCGCCTTATGCTTTTATACTTCTCTCAGTTAATACTTCATAGAAAACAAGTGTAAAATGAAATTTGAATACTTGAAATCTTTCACATATTTGTAAATTACTGACTCATCTTTCTAGTATTTCACAATTTTCTTATTCCTATTTTAGTAATTTTGTTGAAACTACATTAGTAGACTGTGAAAGAAAGAAACTATTGTGTAGTTTTATGCATAAATTTCTATTTAAAACGTACAACCGTGCTGTAAATGAAGAAAACTCATCTTAAATTGAAAATTTTCTCTTTCCATCGAACATCTCTTGAATCAAAACAATAAATGCTTTTTCATCCTTTCGTATCTAGAAAAATCTGATTTTACAGTTCATGACTAGAACTAACGAGGGAACTGCCCGAAGTGATTCAAAGCTTTTAAGCCGATATTTTGCCGATAAATAGAGTCCAATGAGACTAGAAAAAGTCCAAAATGACAAGGACCCATGGGCCTTCCTTCTCGAGTTATGGTCATTTTACTGGGTTTATCACCTATGATACGATATTCACCGAAAAATCAAATTAAGGAGTTTCGACCTGAAATTTTGCCCACATGTAGGTCTTGTGGCCCGTATATTAGCCTGAAAGTTTAANACAATTTTTTCGATAACTCAGCCATTTCTTGACGGATCCTGCTCATCTTCGAACTCGACCGAGACATTGTTCAGACTGAACTGTGTAGAAACTTTCATCGCGATTGGACTCTCCTTTCAAAAGTTATCGTGTTAACGGCCGGCCGGACGGACACACTGACCGATTCTAGAGTGTACTCACTTTTTGAGTACACAAAAAACCAGATGAAAATTTGCAAAAAAATTTCTTTTCATCAGATCTGAAATAGATGTTTTTCTTCTGGTTAATTCAGTTGACGAATGTCACTATTTTTGGTCTTCTCCTCTTCTGAATTTCTTTTTATAGGTATGATTAAATAAGATGGTTTGATTAAAACAACAAAACATTTAGCAGTAATCTTCGATCTTGCGCATATCTAATCATGACTCGTGCGAGGACGCTACGTGTTCTCATATTAAAACAGTTAGATAAAAGAGATAGTTAAATTGAATACTCTCCTATTGAATATGTATATCATTGAGCATCAATGATGAACTTTTGTAAGTAGGAATATCTTTCACAGAATATGAACGGAGAAGAGAAATCATAAAACTACTATTTCATTTAAAAGTATAAAGAATCGAACGAGAAATAAAAATTGCAATTAAATGTTCTATTGTTTTGAGTGAATTATTTTATAAATTATACCAAAAATACAACAAAATTCAATTATTTGTTTTTTCAAAGAGCAAATAAATTTCATGGGAAAATTTTCAAGGAACTATTTATTCAAACGCAAAATAATGTATATTATAAGAACTCATTTTTACAATGGTTATCATTATATATAACAAATAACATTCAACGATCTCTTTTGTGAGTGACACTATTAGAGATGTCCAACGCAGCAATTGAATTTTACGTGGGATATCAATTTTCTCTGAGAATCGATGAATCTCATAGACTTGCAACAATAGTTCTAGTTCATTATAGAAACAGCAGTAAAATTCGAAGCATTTTTTTTTCTCTGAGAATTATCACGGCTTCTGTAACTTATGAAAATCGATTGAGATAATTTATTTTTCGAATTTTAATATTATTTTCTTTAGAAATCATATTCAAAGATGAAATTCCACATTGTCAAGATTGTGATGGAATTGTTAAACCAGGTATTGTAATTACGAATTTAAATAAATTTATATAAAATTTATTTCGATTAAGATATTGTCTTTTTTGGTGAAAGCCTTCCTAGTCGATTTCAAGAATGTGTACAGAGTGTAAGTTATGAATAAGGATTTTGTCCGTCTTTTTTTGTTTGATTAATAGAAAATTTTTTCTTATTAGGATTTTCCAAAAGCTGATTTTTTAATCATTATTGGTACATCATTACAAGTTGCACCATTTAATCGCCTTGTATCATTGTATGAATATGAAATTATAGTTGTTTGTAAAAATGATCTATTTTTAGTGTTGATAAAGATTGTCCTCGTCTTCTTATTAATATGGAGCCAACTGGAAAAGAAACATCTATGTGGAGTTTTGTAAATTTTAGTAGTTGAACTTTTATAATATATATTATATATATTGTTTAGGGGTCTTCATCATTATTATATGATACAAATAAGAATCGTCGTGATGCATTTCATAAAAGCGCATGTGATGCAGGTGTTACTGAACTTGTAAAATTACTTGGTTGGGAGGTAAATTTTATATGAAAACAAAAATAATATTTATAAAGTAAAATATTCTAGGATGATTTTAATAAATTACTCGAATCTGAAGGAGTATCAGTAAAAAATATTAAAAAAGATTTATCGACTATTCCTAATGAAACAGAAGAAAATGCAAATCGTTTAGCTGAACAAATGGCTGCAGCAACATTAAACGATAATGAGAAAAAGGAATAAAAGAAATTGACAATTTGTGTTGTATTGTATTTTTGATTTTTATTTACTCTTTAAAATAAATAAATAATTCCGAACAGTGATTCATTAGTTATTTGAATATTTGCTTTTGAATGTTGATTAAATTTAAGACCGAAAAGAATAGTAGATATAAAATCGTTGTCTTTATGATTTTAGTTTTGATAAACTAACTTCTTCTTTAAGTTTCAATCAAAATGAAAAGTTAATATTCTTTTTTATTCTAACCCAGATCAATGATTCCGACGGTATCTCGCCGAGAAAATAGTAATAACTTAGAAGGAGAAATTCGATGGTGGTGGAGATTGTCAAAATCTATATTCTGAAACTATTTATATTTTGATCTACACAAGGCCGACATTTCTAGCTTGTTCCATTCGAGAGTCATAAGGATTTTCTTGAGAATGCGATTTCAACCAATTGAACTATGATTCTCCAGAAAAATAGCTAGACAACATTCATTTACTATGCTGAGCTGAACGGTGAATTACTATTATTTAGCTGTTTTGCGAACGATCATATATCATTTGGCTGAAATCAAGGGTCTTAGGAAGTCAATTGCGCACTAATCAAACTCTGATGCCCCCATCAAATTTATTCGAAAAATAGGGTAGTATATTATATTTGGAAAAGGATAGTAGTTTCGATCGGAACCGAGGAAAGCCCACCACTGGATCCGATCATCGAATTTCTGCTTTCAAGTTCTTATCGTTTTTCGAGAAGGAAATAATCAAATAGTTAACGATAAAATGAATGCAAATCGTGCGAGAAGAAAATCATATAACATATCCAAAAAAACATTATCAGTTGAGTTTAACATTCAATAAAATCAAATGCTTATCAATACACAATAAAACACAAGAAACTCTTTGTATTATAAAATAGATGGCGAAGCATATATATATGTCTCGTTTTGTTTTTAACTCGTTCTTTTCATCATAATAAACACGTAACTTCGTAATCAAAAATCTTATCATTGCTGACTTCAATTTCAAATATCATGTCTTTTTCAAATAAGTTTCATATAACAATAATTGGTGCAGGTATCATAGGTTTAACAACTGCATGTACTTTACTAAAAGAATATTCATTAAATGATAATTTTCAATTAATAATTATTAGTGAAAAATTTTCACCAGAAACAACAGGTGATATTTTAGCTGGTTATTGGGAACCATATGGATTTGAATCTATTGATGAACGAATACTTCGTTGGGCTAGTTATACATATGATATTTTTCTTAGTGAATTTTTTTCTATAAAAGCAGCTCAAGCTGGTATTATGAAAATGTCTGCATATACTTTACAAGGTTTTGATGGTAAAAATAATCATAAGAATATTTTCGGACCACAATTTTCAACATTAGTTCGACATTTTCGTATGTTAGATAAATATGAAATAGGAAAGTTTGATCATTTAAAACCAACATCAGGTTATGTCATGCCAACAATTACTATTGAAGTTCGATATTATTTACGAGAATTACGACGTTTTCTTGCACAAGATTTTCGAGTAAAATTTATTAAAAAGAAAATTCATTCATTCAATGAATTAATGCATAAAACAGATATAATTATTAATTGTACTGGGCTAGGTGCAAGACAATTAGCTAATGATCAAACAGTTCGACCAGCACGTGGACAAGTAATCTTAATTAATCAATGTTTTAAATATTAATAATTAATTTTTTTTCTATTTAGATTATTCGTATTCATGCACCATGGATAAAATCAGTTTATAATTTTGATACAGATGAAGGTGAAGCATATATTATCCCACAATCAAATTCAGTTGTCTTAGGTGGAACATTTCAAATAGATAATTGGAATTCATCAACTTTGAAAAATGATACAAAAAAGATTCTTCGCATGTGTTCAAAATGTTTACCAGCATTAAAACGAATTCATTATGGTAATGTTCAAGTAGGTTTAAGACCTTATCGAGATGATGGTGTACGTCTTGAACATGAAAAAACAACTGATGGTATTAATGTTGTTCATTGTTATGGACATTCAGGTTCAGGTATTACGCTTTCATGGGGTTGTGCAAGAGATGTTGTTGAAATAATCAAGAAACTCGTACCATTCGATTCAAAACAACAAGAAGAAATACAGAATAAATTACCACTTCATGAACAATTATGGTGTTTAGCAGAAAATAAGAAAAATATTTTCTTACAATCAAAATATTAAAATACTGGTTTTGTTTTTTATTGGTACATTTTAAATGTTAAAATATTTACATATTAACTTTTTCTCATTTAGTATTAGAGATTTTGTTATTTTTATATTTGTTTAGTATATGTATATTCATCAAAATACAAAATGAATAATATATAATCTATCATCTAGTCTTCTTAATTAATATCCTCACTAATGAAAGATTTGATAAACATAAAATGTTTTGTATTGGGTGTAGATGTTGCTCTCACCGCACCGATATCCAAAATGTGAATAATTTGAAACAAACTATTATTCGATAATCAAAAATAGATGAAACCAAAAACTAGTAGAATGTTCTATAAAATGCGAATCAATTTCTATTTATTATCTTTTCATTAAACAGTATATTGAATCATGTCTAAAACAATGTATTAAGGTCTTTAGCAAACTGTATCACATATACTCTTATTTTTGTCTGAACAGTATGCATATCACAAGCTGTGAATGTGGAAATCTGATACAGAGTTTGTAAGATAATGAGATCTTCCGTTCACCAATAGATACTAAAAGAGAAAAAACTTAAGCAAATAAATAGTACACATTATTAAAAAAGGGTCTTATACCATCATTGTAGTGATTAGGACGCAGATATGACTAATCGAGAAGTTGATTTGATGATTATAGGGTTAGAAGAATAACTCATGTCAATATACCAGTTGATCCAGTTTCGTGTGACCATTTCTACCAGTAGCTATTCTAACACTGTGATACATTACGAAAACATAAACATAGCTTGATTCATTTTTTCTGCAACTGTTTCTATTTATAAATTATTCATACAGAGTGTTAAAAGAAGTTCATTAGAAAAGTAAACCGGAATATGTCTTATACGATTCGAACGATTTAATTGTTTTTGTTATCATGTGAGGTATATACCGACAATATTCGCCGGTAATGCGAACAAAATTAGGACATAAGTACGTTCATTGAAGTTGTATTCAACATAAGATCAAATTTAGGTTATCTGCAATAATCAAATAAAAATTGTTAATCGAATTCGGTAAAGTAAAGATATTTATAACGTCTAAGTAAATGTTTAGGGAAACCATCTCAGATGTAACTTGGTTAACAATTTCATGAAATTAATTCAAAGAACACATTATCATATTATTTAGAAAAAAGAATAACTAAATCACTTGAATTTGTTAAAGATAATTACATTTACTTTTTCCTTAATGTATCTTTGAAATATCCTGTAGTTGTCGCCCATTTACGAACTGTTTATAAACACTTGGTTATATGCGGTCGAATGGAGTAGGCAATCATTACCGCAAAGTCGCGTCACATTGTCCTTTTCTCAATATATTGACTGACACGTATCTTATTTCATTACTTTAGATCTTCGGATTTTATTCTCACGTCTTAAATTAATAATATGGTGTCCGACAATATCGCTGTAAGCTTTTTTTTAATATTATTTTGTTTTTAAGTTATTATTGATATTATTATAGATACCATCACTATATGTGATCAAGGGTATTATTATATTGGATAACGATGGTAATCGACTTATAGCTAAAGTAAAATAAATATTAAAAAAATAAAAATAAATGAATTATTTTTTAATATTTAGTATTATAATAATTCATTTGCAACTGTAAAAGAACAAAAAGACTTTGAAAAATCTTTATTTAATAAAACACATAAAGGTTCAGGAGATGTTATTCTTCTTGATAATTGGACAATTGTCTATCGAAATAATGTTGATCTACTTTTCTATGTTATGGGTAGTACAAATGAAAATGAAGTATATAAAAATTATTTTTATTTTGCAATTATTTTTTTTCTTCTTTTTTTTGTTTTTAGTTAATGTTAAATTCTGTATTAACATGTTTATTTGAATCATTAAGTACAATGTTACGAAAAAATGTTGAAAAACGACATCTTTATGATAATCTTGATTTAGTTATGCTTACACTTGATGAAATTTGTGATGATGGGTAAAATGAAAAAAAAATTTCTTTGTTATTTAAGTTTGGTCTTTTTTTCAAGAAAAACAATAATATTTTATTATTTATAGAATTATTCTTGAAACTGATCCAATATTAATTACACAACGTGTTCAATTACGTCAAGATGATATTCCATTAGGTGAACAAACTGTTTCTCAAGTAAGTTATTAGAAAATTTAAAAAAAGACCAATCAATTAAATAATTCATAAAAATAAATATGAGATATAATCATATTTTGTCAATCAGGTTGTCTATCAGGGACTCAATATGTTCTTCAATGGTGATCGATAGATATATATATATACTAATGATGTGCGTGTGTACGAGCTCTACATTGCTCCATTTCTCGCTTCTATCATTATTTAGACGCTGACTATTTTGTCTCTATATATATGTCACCTTAATTTTCATGTATGAATAATTGATTGATTAAATAAATATTAAGAACCAAGAAAAAGAAATCAAAGAAAGAATAGCATGATGATTTTTTTCTCTGTTGCAGTGATTGCACGTTTTTAAACTTTATCATTCGATATTATATAAGTTTTTCTTTGTCTTATTTTAATAGGTACTTAGCCATGCGAAAGAGCAAATCAAATGGTCAATACTTAAATAGAGAAGTTCGAACAAGAAAAACATATTTTAATGGACAAGCTATCATATATGTGCATCATCATCATTATTAATATTATTTTATTCGTTGTTATTCGTTTTAAAATAAAATCTCAGTTTGTGTCTATTATGCCATCATTCATTATTGAATAAAAGGATTTTTTTTTGTGTATCTATACTAGTGTTGTTTCGATAAATAATCTTCTAATTGCAAGTGAATAAGAAAAAGTTTTATTTAACATAAAGAAAAAATACATATATAGTTTCTTTTACTATATTTTGCTGTAATACTATTGATATGGCCCGTCGTCTTAAGACTTGTTACGTGCATGTCGCTTTTAAGAGACAAATAAAAAGTTCACTGATGAACAAAACTTAATGTATCTAAACCCGTTATAAGAACCACTTCAAAAATGTCTCCAATAAGCAGTGACGTATCCAGGATTTTTTAGTATGCTGAATCTTGACTTTTGAGCATGGGACCCAAATGAAACTCATAGAGGGTGATGTTGAGTCCAAATGATGGAATTTTATCAAAAAAAATTTGCACTCGGAGTTTG